CCGACACAGGCAATAGGCCAACAGCCAGTTGCCTCGCAGGGCTGTGCGAACCAATCAAATCTTGCCAGCAGGGACCAGGGCTCTGCGGGAAATAAGACTCGTAGCAGAAGCTCCAGCGGGAGGGGCAAGGCTGAGGAGCAGGGCGCCCGCGCCCGACACCCAGGGGGAGACCTGGCCAAAGTGCAGCGGGCCGTGTGCATGCTGAGCAACACCACTGCCATCGCTGAGGCCTGGGCCCACTTGGACCACAAGTTCGATCTCATGTATGCCAAGCGGGCCTTTGTGCACTGGTATGTGGGAGAAGGCATGGAGGAAGGGGAGTTCTCCGAGGCCCGGGAGGATCTGGCGGCGCTGGAGAAGGATTATGAAGAGGTGGGCGTGGATTCCGTGGAAGCAGAGGCTGAAGAAGGAGAAGAATACTGAGTAGGCATGAGCAGCTGACAGCTCTTCCTTAACTGCCTGCTCACATGCACTGTTTACCATTACACTATGTACCTATTAAAGTTCCTGTATTGAAGCATTCAAAAAAAAAAAAAGAAAGAACTTGGTCATGGGTAGGCCTTATTACAAGCACATGCCTGCCACTCAGCAGGAATTTGACCTCAGGTGAGCTCCTAGAACTCTATAATTCCAAGTGAGCACACTTCATAGAATTTCTGAGGGGTGAAATAAGGTGGCGTCTCACCATAAATGGGGGGCACGGGACACGGCCAACACTGTGCCAAGTATTTTACCTAAACAGCAGTGCACCTGAGGGTCCTCACAACAACCCTCGGAGGCAGGTCTGCTTAGCCTGCTTATTTTCCAGATAAGAAAGCTAAGGTGCAGAGAGGTTTACCCAAGATGGCACAGTTGGCTTGGGACAGAGCTGGTGTCATGTGTCACCGAGGCAGGCTGACTCCAGGGAACAGAATCTCATTTGCTGTGACTGTCCTCCTCCCCCAGCGTGGAGGAGACCTGGAGAATTGAGGTGGATCAACCCGAGGAATCCTACAAGGGTGCCTTTGTGCCAGGATGGCTTCTCCATTACAGTATTCTTATTATTTTAAATATGGTGCAGAGTACACAGTTCAAAACCGCAATCCTTGTGTCTCAGCCTCCTCAGCTCTAGGATTGCAAGCCTGTGCATCCACAACTAACTCCTGGGTGGCATAGCATGAGGTACTGGGGACTGAACTCAGGACTTTGCGCTAGCCAGGCAGGTGCTTACGCTGCTGAGCTATATCTCCTGGCCTATCATTAATTTATTTTTTGTATGCCTGTGTATGCTTGAAAATTTTCATCATAAAGGAATTAAAAAAAAAGTGCACAAGAACTTTTTTTTGTAGACATCCCCTTCAAATTAAAGAACTTTGTTTTTCTGATTTATTATAAATTATTTTATTATGAATGAATGTAAAATTAAAATTTTGTTGTCTTTTTTGAGACAAGGGTCTTGTTATGTAGCTCAGGCTGGGCTTGAACTCGCTATGTATCCCTGGTGGGGTTTGAGCTCCCTACGATTCTACTGCTTCATCCTCCTGAGTGCTGGGATTACAAGTGTATACTACTATGCCTGGCTGCCAAATTTATGTTTTTTTTTTTTTTTTTTGTCAGAACCAGGGTTTGAACTCAGGCCCTTTTGCTTGCCAGGGAAGTGCTTATTCCACTGAGCCATCTCCCTGGCCCTGCCAAATGTATCTTAAACAAAAAGCAAACAAATAAAATGTGCATTGCCATGCTGGGAATTTAACCCAAGGCCTCACACATGCTAGGCAACTGCTTTATCACTGAACTATGTCCTCTGCCCTAAAACCATATTTTTTTTTTTTTAAAGAAAAGGTATAACAGGGTTCATCCATTTTAAAACACAAAGGGGGGAAATGTTGAAAATGTCAGTGTAAAAAACTTAGAACTCCTTCACCAAATATTTATTTGTTTATTTATTTGTATTTAGTACAGGGTCTACAGGGTCTCACTACGTAGATCAGACTTGTAGTGATCCTCCTGTTTTCAGCCTCCCAAGTGCTGGGGTTACAGGTGTGCGCCACCACACCCAGTCCCCATTGCCTCTCAGTGGGTCCCAGGGGCGGGGCTGGCAGGCATGGGGATCCAACCCTGGTCCCTGCATCTGCCTAAGCAGGTGCTTTAATCAACAAATATTTCTATTCCCATGTCTCTTTCTTTTCATCAACTGAGAGCTTAGCGTAAGTGCAGCAGTACCTCCAGGGCCAGAGGCTTCTGCCTAATTAATAATTAATGTGTTGCTGGTGGATTTGGAGGGAGGGAGATGTAGGGCATGCAGTGGGTTACCCCTCCCAGCTCCCCTACCCAGACTAGAAGACCTAAGCCTCCTGCTGGTGGGATTAGGAAAAGTTAGCTAACACTTGAAGCTGCTGACTGCTCAGGAATTACCTGGGGTGGAAGAGAACCACTTTCCTCCATATGGGACCCAAGGCCCTTCTCCAGTTCAGGACAGCTTTCAGGGGCTGTTTCAGTTTCAGGTTCCCTGTAGGGTGGCTAAGGCCATGTGGCTCAGACTGGTCGATAAAATGTGAACAATGTTAGGTGTGTGGCTTCCTGGTGGAAACTGTGCTTAAACTTGCTATGTTCCTGACCAGACAGTAGTATTTGAAAGGGGGGGGGGGGAGAGAGAGAGAGAGAGAGAGAGAGAGAGAGAGAGAGAGATTATTATTATATTCTAAGCTTTATGAGGGTATTCATGATAAATAAACATAAGCTCAGGACTGTGTTCCTGCGGAGATTAATTATGGCTTACCTACAGTGCTGGGACCATGTGTGGTGCATTTTTTGGGAAAGGTCTATGTAATGCCACTTATCTCAGAGAATGGCACTTGTAAAATCTAGCCATTTATGAGGGTGACATGCCTAGGTAATTATTCAAGTTATCTTTTCTTTATCAGCAGGTTCAAATCCTTTTGAGCTTTGCTTTGTCAAGGCAGAGATGAGTGTGAACTTGTAGGGGCCTGTTTCCACTTCTTCCAGGGACAGCCACTGGGACTCCTTTCCTAGGATGACTGGACCACAGCTCTTGCTTTGGAGTTGCCTAGGCTAAGGGTCTGTGTTATGGTTTGGGCATAATGTGTCCTGTGTGGTAGGGTGCAGAGTGGTGGTCAGCTCGGGAGGATGCTAACTTTACCAATGGATGAATCAATCCATCAATGAGCTCTTAGTGGAGCAGGCTACTAGAAGGTGGAAAAAATAAGTCACTGGGTGTGCAACTCGGAAGGGTACGTCTTGTCCCTTGTGCCTCCCTCCCTGGCTCATTTCTGTGTTCTCCACCCTGAGTTAAGTGGCTTTGCTTTACTACATCCTTCTGCCATGATGCTTCTGTCTTGTCACAGGCTGAGAAACACGCAGCCACCTGACTGTGGACGGCAACGTCTGAAACCATGACCCAAGAGAAACCCATCCTCCTGGATGTTCCCGCTCTCAGGTGCTCCGGCACAGTGATGGAAAGCTGGTTAGCATCTCATGTGAGCTTTTGCCTGTGGGCCCCATTTGACCTGTTGCCAGTTTTTAGATTGTGAATTATCAGCTTATATTTAAATTTTACTTAAATTAATATTATGTTCATGAATAGATATAATGTCTTTTACATTTTTAAATGTTAAAAAAATTGAAAGAATGATGTCATACATAAAAATGGTATGAGGGCTGGCCAGATAGCTCAGCGGATTAAAGTGCCTGCAAGCAGGCATAGGGGCCGGGGGTTCAATCCCAGGGACTGCCATGCCGATCCCGTCCCGGGGCGCCCTGAGGCAGCAATTGAGACTGGGTGTGGTGGCGCACATGTGTAATCCCAGGTCTTGGGAGGCTGTAAACAGGGGGATCACTATGAGTTCGATCTAGTAGTGAGACTCTGAAAACCCTGTAGACCCTTCCCTAAAATTAAAAAACAAACAAAACAAAAGAAAACAAAACAAAACAAAACAGAGTTTGATCCCCGGCATACTGTGCCAGCCCTGCCCTGGCCCCTGGGGTAAGCTGAGACAATGATTGAGACTGCATGGTGGCACATGCCTGTAATCCCAGAGGGTTTTTTTTTTTTTTTTTTGCAGAACTGGGGATTGAATTCAGGCCCTTGTGCTTGCCAAGGAAGTGCTTATTCCACTGAGCCATCTCTCCGGCCCCAGTCCCAGCGCTTGGGAGACTGAAAACAGGAGGATCACTACAAGTCCGATCTTTGTAGTGAGACTCTCTAGACCCTGAAGACCCTGTACTAAATGCATTTAAAAAATGGTATGAAATCCAATTTTGATGTCCATGAATAATGTTTATGTGACACACAGCCACTCCCAATCATGTCTGTATCGTTGTGGCTTATTTTCTACTTCAAGGCAGAGTTAAATGGTGGCACCCAACATTCTACGGCCCACAAAAGCTGAAATTCTTACTAAAGGGCCCTTTACAGGAAAAGTGTGCTGACCATTGTTATGTAGCTCAGACAAGTGAGTTTTTGTCCTTCACCAGATTGTTGAGTTGCAGTTGGTTCCTACAAGCTGGTGAGGATCAGTAATCTGACAGTGGGCTCTCCTTTGGACCTGTATTTCCTTTCTCTGGGCCTAACTTCTGAGTAGTTCAGGGAACAAAGTCACTTTATTCACTTATCCTCTGCCTGTGATGGGCAGGTCCATCTTCCTTCATGGTTCCCTGGGTCCTTGGAGGATTTAAAAATTGGAAATCTAGCCTCTTAATTTATATCTTTTCTTTTCTATATATACAAGGCAGAGTGTCCTTCTTTTGCTTTTTTTTTTTTTTTTTTTTCCTTCCTGGATCACACTTCTCTATTCCTAAAATCTTCTCCTAGGTCTTTCTCCTCTGGCTTTTCTACCTAGTGAGAGATTTGAAGTTAAGGAGTTTCAGCTTTACTTAAAGCATTCGTTGTCCACATACTTCTTACTTGTGTGCCTTTGGCTTCCTCAAATGTGTAATCCCACAGGTGGGTAATCCTACTTTATAGGAGAATATTCTCCCATAAAATCTTCAGGCTTAAGGGGCTGGGGAGATGGCTCAGTAGGATAAGCGCTTGACTGGCAAACGCAAGGATCTGAGTTCAATCCCCAGAAAAAAAAATCTTCAGGCTTATTACCTTACAATAAAAGCAGTCCTTTTAAAAAATAAGCATGTCGGACTGCATGTGTAGCCTAGCGGTAGAGTGACTGCCTAGCCTGTGTGTAAGGCCCTGGATTTGGTCCCCAGCCTTGCACAAAATAAATGAGGACAACCATGACATCTTGAAACTCGGTAAGCTTTTTTTAAATTTTTATTTATTTGTGTGTGTGTGTGTGTGTGTGTGTGTGTGTGTGTGTGTGGCCAGCTCAGCCCACCAGGGGGCAGGGCTGGCTGGCATGTGGTGCTGGGGGATTGAACCGCAGTCCCTGTGCTTTGCTGAGCTTGTTCTAAGTAGGTGCTTTAGACCACTGAGCCATCTCACCAGCCCGAGTTTGAGGATTTAGAAGCAGACTTATGTACCCAGAATTACTACCCCACGCTTGGGAGCCCTAAGAGTAAACAGAAAAAACACACCTGGGTACTGTTTAAAAAATGAATGTAGCAGGGTGTCATGCCACACATCTATGGTCCCAACACTTGGGAGGCTTAAGCAGGAGGATTGCTGAGAGTTCAAGGCCAGCCTGGACTGCATAATAAAACCTTGTCTTCAAGAATGACCAAAGACCAAAACCAAAACAACAGAAAACAACAACCAAGCCCCCCACCAAAAAGAAAAAAATATTAAAAAAATAGATGTATCTAATATGAATACAGCAAAATTTGTCATTTTCTTTCTTTTTTAAATGTATTTAGTACAAGGCCTACAGGGTCTCACTACACACATCGGACTCATAATGATCCTCCTGTTTTCAGCCTCCCAAGTGCTGGGATTATAAGCGTGTGCCACCATGCCCAGTCTCTGTCATTTTCTTTCTTTTTTTTTTTTTTATGAGCAGAATATATTTATTGGGGGAAAGAAAGCTCCTTTCTGAGAGAGGGACAAGAGGGGGCCCCCAGTGGGTGGTCCCCCTGTCATTTTCAATATATAGTTGAATGTTTCTTTTTACACTTCTCTTTTTTAAAAATTTTATTTATTTATTTATGGTGTGTGTGTGTGTGTGTGTGTGTGTGTGTGTGTGTGTGTGTGTGTGTGGCCAGCTCAGCCCACCAGGAGGCGCGGCTGGCTGGCATGTGGTGCTGGGGGATTGAATCGCGGTCCCTGTGCTTTGCCAAACCTGCTCCAAGTAGGTGCTCCAGACCACTGAGCCATCTCACCAGCCCCAGTTGAATGTTTCTTGATAAATATATAGAATCACAGAGTATTATCATCACTCCAGAAAGTTCCTTCTGATACTTTTGTAGTCAGTCTCCGCTCCTCTTTTTCCCCCCATAGTTTCCTTTCGAGAATGTTCTTTCCTTTTCTTTCTTTCTTTCTTTCTTTCTTTCTTTCTTTCTTTCTTTCTTTCTTTCTTTCTTTCTTTCTTTCTTTCTTTCTTTCTTTCTTTTTTAGATAAGGTCTTGCTATAGTTCAAGCTGCCCTTGAACTCATTATGGAGCCCAGGGTAACTCCAAACTCACAGAACTCCTCCAAGTGCCTCAGCCTGCCCAATGCTGGGGTTATAGGTCTGCACCACCCTACTCTTCCAGAATGTTCTGTAAGTGAAATTGTGCAGCATGCAACATTCGTGTTGTTGCATATGTCGGTAGTTTCTTTCTTTTTACTGCTGAGTTGTCTTTCACTGTGTGGATGTACCCCAACTGGTTTATTTATTCACCAGTTGATGGATCTTTAGATTAATTCCAGTTTGGGGCTATTATAAATGGGATTGCTAAACATTAGTGTGTGGAGTTTGTAGAGACTGATGGTTTCTTTCTTGTAGGTAAATTCCCAAGATGATTGTCCGATGATATGGTAAGTATATGTTTAACTTTGTAAGAAATGGTGCACTACTTTTAAAAAATATTCTCCCCAGTGAAGAAACATGAACCAAAGTATGTTATATGCCCAATACTTGCAAGGCTATGTGAAAAAATCCAGCTGGTTTAGGTTTGCTTTGGGTCACTCTTAGTGACCAAGTGTGTTCAGTTTCTTTCTCCATTGCCATGTTTCGATTCATGCTTTCATTCTACTTCAAATGTAACTACTGGTTGATTTTTTTTTTTTCAGAACTGGGGATTGAACTCAGGGCCTTGTGCTTGCCAGGCAAGTGCTTATTATACTGAGCCATCTCCTCGGCTTTGATTTATCAAATTATCTTCTAGCCTCTTTTGTTACCTGTTCCTCAATTTGATTCTTGCATCCTTTGGCCCACTTTCTCAACTAGGTAAGTATAGGTCAAATACCCCTTATCTGAAAGGTGTGGAACAATAAATGCCTCAGATTGATTTTGGAATATTTATATATACATAATGAAATATCTTGGTGATGGGACTCAGGTCTAGACATGAAATTTATTCATGTTCCACGTACACTTTACGCACAGTGGCACCTATGTTTTGACTTCAACCTGCCCATTGTAGGAGGCCATTTTCCACTCATGGTATAAGGTCAGACCTCAAAAACCTCAGATTTTGAGCCAGGTGTGGTGGTGCACACTACAATCCCAGCACTCACGAGGCTGAGTAGGAAGATCATGAATCCAGGCCCAGCTTGGGCTTCCTAGTAAGACCCTGTGTCAAAAAACATTTCAGGGGCCAGGGAGATGGCTCAGTGGAATAAGTGCTTCCCTGGCAAGTGCAAGGGCCTGAGTTCAATCCCCGGTTCTCCAAAAAAAAACATTTCAGATTTTGGAGAATATTTAGCCTGTACATTCCAATCCTGTTCTGCATCCTCCTCTTGCTCACTCTAGCTTTTTCTCATCTTTTTGAACCAGTTTGCTCTCTCTCTCTCTCTCTCTCTCTCTCTCTCTCTCTCTGTCTCTCTCCCCCCCCCTTTTTCTCCCACTCCCTTTCTCTCTCTCTGTATTGAGTACAGGGTGTTCAGGGTCTCACTACACAGATCACACTTGTAGTGATCCTCTTGTTTTCAGCCTCCCAACCACTGGGATTACAGGCATACACCACCACGCCCAGTTTCAATTGCTGGCGGGGCCAGCACAGCAGGTCCCAGGGATCGAACCCCCAGCCCCTGTGCTTGCTTGCAGGCGCTTTAATCCACTGAGCCATTTGGCCAGCCCTTCTACTATGCTTTCCAATTTTTTTTTACTTCCTTTTTCTTTTTTCTAATTATGTATTTTTATATTTAACAGAAATGGGATCCTAACTTGTAGCACATAACCTTTTTTTGCTAACAACATGTGTATGTAGCAAACATATCTTATCAGTGAATGCATCTTCTCATCTCAGAGGCCTCTTTCTGAAACCCAAATCCGTATACAATTCAGTCATTAAAACAGTAAATCTCTTCTGTGGCACTTTCAGCCTAAAGCTGTGGTCTCCAGACTCTGCTGGGATTTAAAACTGAGCCACCTGGTTCCCACGCCTAGAGTCCACAATGAATTTGTTTTCACCGCACTTCGGGCGTAGAGAGTTCTTGAAGCTCCCGGGGTGCCGCTAAGGCACAGTAAAGCTGGGGCCTGATGCAGCCCGGAGCGGAAGTCTGCAGCGTGCAGGCTGCCCACCAGGTGCAGCTGCCCGCCTATTTGCTACGGCTCCATGTGTTTTTCATTTTTAAGTGTTAAAAAAAAATGGAATGAATAATATTTAATGACATACGAGGGGCCAGGGAGATGGCTCAGTGGAATAAGTGCTTCCC